GTAGCTTATGATTGTTTTATGTTTGTTTTAATTTGGTAAGTGGAAGATAAAGGCGCTCTGGTAGCATAATGCCTAAGGCACTTAACTGCTAACTAGTAGGCTGGCGATTCAAATCCACTAGCCACTCCTCTTGGAAGGAAGGTTGGACAATCTACTTCCGTAGTGATACCGCCTTGGAAACCCAAGGAAGGGTCGCTATGAGTCGGGTTTAACTCAACGGCACATAACAACAATAAGTGGAAGATAAAGTTTAAAAGAAAAAAAAAAGTGTAAAATAGTGATATATAGCCAGAGAAAAAGTCAGTGCATGAAAATATGCTGTAAATTCCCATGCAAGTATTAAAAGTATTTTTTTAAGATGCAATTTTCTATAAATAATTTAATTTTAACATTTTAGCCAGAAAACAATTCTGGGAGTGGTGTAAGTTCATTTATACTATTAACTTTCACCTAGCCAGCACCCTTCAGAACATGCAGGTCATTCACAATAAAAAAGGGCCTCATTATAAAAACATGCTCCTTTCAGGCTGGTGGGACTATAACAATACAGCATGTGTTGTTGTTGTTATGTGCCATCAAGTCAGCCCCGACTCATAGCGACCTCTCCTTGGGTTTTTCAGTTCCCTTCCTAGGAAGCTGTCACTGCCCAGGAATCAAGAATGTTATTCAGTGCCTGCTTCTCTTCAAATCGCTCCATAGGCTCTTTCACCCTGATAACTATTTCAAACCATGCATCATCTGGGTTTATATGATAATTTCAACCCCTCCTATCGCCTGCATAAGGAGCTCTGGTAACACAGTGCCTAAGGCATATAACTGCTAACCAGAAGGTTTGAGTTTCAAAGCTACCATCCACTCCATGCAAACAAGACTGGGCAATCTACTTCCATAAAGATTTACAACCTTGAAAACCTAGTGGGGGTCACTGTGAGTCAGAATCAACTCAATGGTGTTTTGTTTGTTTGTTTGTTTTTGGTGGGGTTTTTTTTTGGGGGGGGGAATCTCTTGCATTCCTGCTTTTCCCTTTAGACAGGTATCTTGTATTTCAGGAAATCAGTCTTATCTGACAGGTAGCTGGAAGCTCTGGTGGTGTAGTGCCTAAAGCATTTCACTGCTAACTAGAAGGCTGGCAGTTCAAACCCACCAGCCACTCCTCAGAAGGAAGACTGGGCAATCTACTTTCGTAGAGATATTGCCTCAGAAACCCAAGGAGGGATTGCTATGAGTCATAACTGACTTGAAGGCAGAGTTTTGTTTGTTCGTTCGTTTGTTTTGACAGGTAGCTGGCCTGGAAACTTTATCAACTTAGGAAAGATGAGAAATTCTCCCTATATATTTGGGTCTTTCTGTCAAAACCAAAAAACCAAGCTCACTGCCATCGAGTTGATCCCCACTCATAGCAACCTCCATTAGGTTTCCAAGGCTGTAAATCTTTATGGAAATAGATTACCCTATCTTCCTTCCACAGAGAAGGTGGTAGGTTTGAGCCACTGACCTTCTGGTTAGCAGACAAGTGCCTTATTCACTATGCCACCAGAGCTCCTTAATTTCTGTCAGGAAGGCTAATTATAAAACTGACCAGAAAACAAGTTATGGGAGATTGTCAGAAGAGTTATGTGGTAAAAGCTGGGTGGAAATTAAAGCTGGGATTTGTTTCACCTCTGAGGGTGAGAAACTTGTGCTAGGCCTCAGTGCATAACAGCCACATTTACCCATCCGTGCAGAACCCTTATAAAAGCCCTGTGGAACCAACACCATTTCCTCTTAATTTTGAATGTTATAAAATATTTAGGAGCTCTGGTAGCATAGTGCCTAAGACAGTTGACTGCTAACCAGAAGGCTGGCAGTTCAAATCCACCAGCCACTCCTCGGAAGAAAGGTCGGGCAATCTACTTCCGGAGCGTTACTGCCTCGGCAACCCAAGGAGGGGTCGCTATGAGTCGAGTCCTACTTGACGGCACATAACAACAACAACATAAAATATTTAGCATACTGTGCTACAGGATGGAGAGACCATTTGTAAAGCATTTAATATTTTTGAGGAAACGGTTCTCATGGTATAAAGGAAAGAGCATTGGATTGGAGTTTGTAGCCCTGGGTTCAAATTCTAGCACCACCAGAACTGGGATGTTTATCTACCAGAGCTTTCCTTTCCTTCTGTAACATGGTAGTCAGATTGTCTACCTCATAGGTCATAAGGATAAAATGAGATTTCATATGTAAAAATAACACCAAACAGAATCAACTCGACAGCAGTGGGTTTGGTTTGGGTGTTACTCATTTATATAGCACAGCATCGAAGATATCAATTCTGTCACCTACCAGCTGCCCAGATAGATGATCTTAGAGGTCATTGTCTTTGTTACCTAGTGCTGTCATGACAAAAAAGATCACAACTGGCTTTAAGGAGCACAAATTTATTTTCTCACCATTCTGGAGGCTACAAGTCCAAATTCAGGGTGTCAGCTGTAGGAGAAGATGCTTCTTTGTCTCTTTCAGCCCCTGATAGCTGCCAGCAATCCTCAGCATTCCTGGGCCTGTCACTTCACCTGCCTCTGTCTGTGCGTGGTCTCTTCCCCTGAGTGTCTCTGGGTCTGTTCTGCTCATTTCATAAGACACCACTCAGAAGTGACTAGGTTTCTGTCCCATCCCAATATGGCATGACCTCATTGACGTAACAAAAGAAATTCGTATTTCCAAACAGGGTCATATTTACAGGTATAAAGGTCTTCAACACATATTTTGGGGGGGTCCTAATTCAATCTATTACAGTCTTTATTATTTATGAAAGTGAAATTGGAAATGGGATGCTGGATGTTGACAGCAGCCTCACCTTCTGTCTGTATATTTTTTGTTCCATAAGCTGCCTCATATGTATGTGTTCAGTGTTTCAGGTCAACTCTGAATGAAATGAGAAGAGGAATCACACACCCTCAGAGGGAAGAATTCTAAGATAGAGCACTCCCTGCACCAAGGCTGATGGATTATCCTAAAACAAACAAACAAACAAACAAAAAGCTGCTATCAAGTTGATTCCAACTCATTGTAACTCTATAGGACATAGCAGAACTACCCCCATAGGGTTTCCAAGGCTGTAAATCTTTATGGAAGCAGACTGCCTCATCTTTCTCCTGTGGACTGGCTGGTGGGATTCACCTCAAAGGAGGTGAATCAGACTATGCCAAAGTCTACAAAATCAAAATGAGTTGGTTGAGCCCTATTCTTGCCTATGTGACAAATTATCCCAATATTTAGTGGGTGAAAACTGAAAATAACCAAACTCATTGCTGTCAAGTTGATTCTGACTCATATCAACCCTACATGTTACAAAGTAGAACTTCTCCATGGGATTGTCTGGGCTACAATTTTAGGGACAGATCACCAGGCCTTTCTCCCATGGTACCCCTGGGTGGGTTTGAATTGCCTTTAGGTTAGTGGTTGAGTGTAAACCATATGAGCCACCGAGTGACCTAGTGGCTGAAAACAACCTTTTATTATTTCTCAAGATTTTGAGAGTCAGAAATTTGGGCAAAGCTCCGTTAGATGCTCTGTGTAGAATTGACAGAGGTCCCTTAGTGTTTTTCATATGAAAAAGTTCAAGGCTGAGACTGTGGCAAAGACTGGAAGGCTGGGCCCAGCTGGGACTGTGTAGTAGGAATCCTATGAGTGGCCTCTCCAGCATGAGTCAGGCTAGTCATTACTTCTTACAGGGTGGCTCAAAAGTTCTAAAAGCAAGTGTTCCCAGGAACAGAATGCTACATGTAGTTTTCATGATCTAACCTCAGAGATCAGATAGTATCACTTCTATATTCTATTGGTCAAATCAATCATGAGCCCACCCATATCCAAAGGAAGAGGACACAGACCTCACCTGTATGATAGGAAGGGGAGAAGAACTTGCAGCCATGTTTCAGAATGCTGCTGTGGAAAACAGATGGGCAGTTCTTTAAGAAGTTAAACATAGAGTTACCATAGGACCCAGCAGTATGGTATCCAGCCACTCTTGGGTATGCACCCAAAGAAATTAAAACAGACGTTCAAACAAAAACTTGTACTAATTGCAGCACTTTTCACAATTGCCAAAAGGTAGAAACAACCCACATATCTACCATGAATAAATAAATTGTGGCACATCTATACCATGAAGTATTATTCAACCATAAAAGGGAATAGTGTGGATGAACCTTGAAACATTATGCTAAGTGAAAGAAGCTAAACACAAAAGACTCAATATTGTATGATTCTGTTTATGTGAAATATCCATGATAGGTAGTTCATAAAATTAAAAAGCAGATTAGTAGTTGCTATGATAGTAGTTCATAAAATCAGAAAGCAGATTAGTAGTTGCCAGGGCTGGAAACGGAGAGGGGAATGGGGAAAGGGTTAGCTTTTCCTTTTAGGGTGATGGAAATGTTCGGGAGCTGGTTAGTAGTGGTGATTACACAGTATTGCAAATGTACTAAATGTCACTAAGGGAAAATTTTTGTGTATTTTACTACAATTTCAAAAGAAGTGCCCCAGGATAATCCATGCCTTGTAGAGTTTACAGTCGGAGGGCAAATGTAACATGAGAAGCAGAGCTCCATAAATACGTCTGCCTCTCTGGTAGTGTAGTGCCTAAGGCATTTGACTGCTAACTAGAAGGCTGGTGGTTCAAACCTACCAGCCGTTCCTCGGAAGGAAGACTGAGCAATCTACTTTTGTAGCAATACCATCTTGGAAACACAAGGAGGGCTCACTATGAGTCGGGTCCAACTCATGGCAGTGAGTTTGGTTTGGTTTTTCTTAACCCTTGTATCTTAGAACACAGTGACTGGTTTTTAAAAACCAGACAGTAAGTCATAGAGAATATGCCTTTACCTGTAAAGTCAGTTTTGCCATGGAGTCCACTCGGTTCTGACCTGTGTCAGAGCAGGACTGTGCTATGTAGGATTTTCAGTGGCTGGGATCTTTCAGAAAGATCAGGCCTTTCTTCTGAGGAGCCACTGGGTGGATTTCAGCCTCCAACCTTCCAGTTAGTAGTCGAGTGCTGAACCACTGGTTCCACGCACTAACTCACCCTCTGCCCCTACTATTCTCTTATAACTATATAACTTGCAATGCTCCAGCTTCCCTTGCCACTTTTTTTTTTTTTTTTTTAATGCAGTCATTACTGGCCTATATATGGACTTAAACACTTTTTACAGTATCAGGTCAAGCTAGTGTTCTGTACCATTAATATATAATAGATATGCAACTATTTAAGGGGGGTCGCTATGAGTCAGGTCTGACTCGATGGCATATAACAACAACAATATGTTTAAGTAACTTAATATGTTTAAGTCTTCTCCTTCTCATCCACATATTCACCCGTTAATCACTGTATCTCCATATCCCCCCACAAGTCTAACCTTAGGCCCCTTCAAGACTGTTTTGTTTTCTTCACCCAATTTAGCATGTGTCTACCCTCTAGTTCTTAGTTGACCATCCCTTCCCCACCCACCCCTGGTAACCATCATAGAATATTTCTTCTTTTGTGAAGGCCTTTACTTGACTTTTTACAATAGTAGTCTCATACAATATTTGTCCTTTTGTGATTGCGTAACCTCACTCAGCATAATGGCCTCTAAGTTCATGCATGTTGTGAAATGTTACAGATTCATTGTTTTTTAATGTTGCATAGTATTCCAACGTGTGTCTGTACAGTAGTTTGTTGATCCATTCCTCCATTGATGGGTAGTTAGGTTGCTTCCACCTTTTTGCTATTGTGAATAGTGCTCCAGTGAACATGGGTGTGCATATATCTGTTCATGTCACAGCTCTTATTTCTCTAGGATGTATACCTAGTCATTTCCCTTGCTATATCTTATAGCCCCTTTCTTCTTTGAAAACTGGTTGAGATCCTTGTCATCCCCTCACCCTGGGGGGAGCCCTGTAGAGCCTGGTGGTAACATGCATTGGCACTGTCCTCAGAGCATCCTGAGTGGGAATCCCCACCCACAGCACATGGGCCAAGCAGCCCTGGTAAGCTGCTTACTCTCTTCTTTTAAAGGGAGCTGTTACTATAGTTGCTTCATAGGTTCCTGGGAAGAAAAAGAAAATGCTTAGAAACTACATAGCACAGAGCCTAGGACATAGTGTGCATTCAATAAATATTAACTATAGTTGCTGACATTTTTAACATGAAAGAGACCTGGCATGAGGAGGCCAGCCTCTCCGCGTTTACTCTGCTTTGCATGCTCAGCAAACTTCCATGGTTTGTTTTCTTCTCAGGAGTTCATTCGCCTGGGAAGCCTCAGCAAACTCTCCGGGAAGGGGCTACAGCAGCGCATGTTTTTCCTGGTAAGTGGTGGGAACTGTTTGCCCTGTGATCCAGGAAAGCACACAGAACCATGGGGTGAGCGAGGGCCCCTGGGCCGGGCCGCCGCCGCCCAAGAATGGGGCCTGGATGGCAGAAGCAGCAGCCAAGGTTGATGAGACTTAGTCCCTGGGATCAACAAATTGTAATGAAAGAAAATGGACTGACCCATGTCACTTTAGTTTTGTTATTTCACTGTACCTAAATTATATTTCAATAAAATGTATTTTAAAAATAGTTGTAATGAAAGAGTGAAGCAAACATACCAACTGCATATACCAGTTTGAGTTGGAGCCCCTTCATCTTAGCCACGCTTCTCCTTGCTTCCTAGTTCAATGATGTCTTGCTGTACACAAGCAGAGGGCTGACGGCCTCCAATCAGTTCAAAGTCCATGGGCAGCTCCCCCTCTATGGCATGACTGTGAGTATGTGTGTAGGTACCAGATCAGGGCCTTTCCCTCCTGGCTGCCTTTAGATGCTTAAACCAGCTAACCACATATGTGTGCATATGCATATGCATCTTGTGACTGTTTGTACACAGATTCATATGTGCAACAAAGCACATAGAGGGCACAGCTGCAGGTACTTCTCAGACATAACCCAAATACTTTACAGGATTGTCTTCTTGGGTTTGAAGGATTAGGATCATAGTTTCATGGGACATCTTGGTTAATTGGCATGATATAGTTCATAAAGTTTATGTTCTACATCCTAATTTGGTGAGTAGTGTCTGGGGTCTTAAAAGCTTGTGAGTGGTCATCTAAGATACAACTAATGGTCTTCACTTGTCTGGAGCAAAAGAGAAAGAAGGAAGCAAAAAACCCAAAGAAGCAACTCATGTACAGGACTAATAGTCTACACAAACCATGACCTCATCTGAGAAGAACAAACTAGATGGTGCCCAGCTACCACTGCCATCCATCTGACCAGGGCCACAACAGATGGACCCTGATAGGATGGGGAAAAAGATGTGGAAATTCCTAAAAAACAAAAACCAAACCTACTGGACTCTTTGAGATTGGGAGACTCCCCAAGACTATTGCCCTGAGAAAATCTTGAACTGAAACTCACCTCTGAGGTCACCTTTTCGCTAAGTAACAGATTGGCTCAAAAAAATAATATCACCCGTAAGTACTGTGCTCCTTTAAAAAATCACCTATATGAGACCATATGGTCAACAATTACTTTAAAATGAAGATAAGAATGTAAAAGGACAGAGAAACTAGATTAATGGAAACAGAACCACCAGAACTATTGAGAACATAACATCAATTGTGAAGAATATAACCCAGGATAATTTGTGTAGAAATTGTTGAATGAGAACCTAAACTGCTGTGTAAACCTTTATCAAAACACAATAAAACATTATTTAAAAATAAAAAACAAAACCAGTTAACCACTTGCTTTTGAATTGACTGAGACTCATGCCAACCCCAATGTGTGTCAAAGTAGAACTGTGCTCCTAGTTTGCAGTGGTTGATTTTTCGGAAGTAGATCACACCAGGCCTTTCTTCCAAGGTACCTCTGAGTGGATTTGTACTTCCAACCTCTTAGTCAGAAGCCAAGCACATTAACTGTTTGCACCACCCAGGGACTTGTCTTCAGGTACAGACAAGACTGAAGGGAGCAGTAAGAAGGGAAGGAGAATGTCCAAGCATCACAGATGCCATCGTTACCTGCAAAGCCTAGGCTCAAGACTGAAGACCTTCCAATCCTCCAATTCCTTCCACCTAACAACAGACCTCATTCGGGCTCTTCTAGGGCAGCACAAGACAGGCACATAAAGAGCACATGTCTGTTCATTTTATAAAACAGTGAAGAGGCAGGTGGCCTTGGACCATTTGGTATGATTTACCCCTCACTGCCCTGTGCCTTTTCCCTGCAGCCCGGAAAGACACTTATTACCATGCACACGGACTCTAATAGAGCTCAATCAATAGAAACTAGACTAGCGGGCAGCCTCCCTCTTTTCCTCGCAAGATGTGTCCATTCTGTTCTGTTCTCATCTGTTCTGTAATGCCTCAGTCAGCAGACACAGGCAGAGTTCCTTTGGCACAGGACCAGTCCTCTGCCTTACAGCAACTCTTATCAGTGTTTGGGTGGAAGGAAGCTTGACCACTCCACCAAGAACATTCAGCATGTTAACCTCTATTTCTGTTTCCTGATTTTGATTTTTTCTTCCTGGTAGCCCCTTCTCCCTCTGTAGGAGACTCCCAGTTCCCCCTGAATTTTATGGCCTTCTCTCAGCAGCTGCCCCAGTGTCCAGTGTAGTGAACAGTTGAAAATACATAGAGTACCTCGCTCCCTGCTTGGCAATAACATTGTGAACACTTGTCTCGCTGCAGATAGAAGGGAGTGAGGATGAATGGGGGGTGCCCCACTGTCTTACGCTCCGGGGCCAGCGCCAGTCCATCATTGTGGCTGCCAGGTAATTCAGCAACCCGACCTCTTACCTGTTTACCTTTTTCCTTGCCCCTATCTGAAAACCTAACAATAATCTCTGCCTTCAGTTCTCGGTCAGAGATGGAAAAGTGGGTTGAAGACATCCAGATGGCCATTGATCTGGCAGAAAAAAGCAGCGGCCCCACCCCAGAGTTACTGGCCAGCAGCCCCCCTGACAATAGTGAGTTTTGGGGTATGGCAGAGGTGGGAGGAAGCATTGCTCTGTGTAACTCACAAGCCCAGTGCCTCAAGGAATTATCCCTGGAGGGGGAAGGGATACTCCTAGTTTTACAAAGGAGAGTGTCACATTGTATTTAAAATAAAATAATTCTTAAAGTCTACATTTGTGTACAAGGTTAAAATCAAAGAACTTCCCTTTTCTGGAAGTATGACTGAGGCGATTGGACTACTTCCACAGTCGGTATCACTACAGAAGTAGATTGCCCGGTATTCCTTCCGAGGAATGGCTGGTGAGTTTGAACCATCAGCTTTCTGGTTAGCAGTCAAGTGCCTTAGGCACTAGAGCGCCCCTGAGGGAGCAGGGAAGCCATCTTTTATTTGCCAGCCAGCACTGCTGCTTGTAATACTGGCTGTCACGTCTAGGGGCGCAAACACAGCTGTCCACAGTTGCAACGTGGGCACGCTGACTAGGTGTGGGGCACAGAGGGGTTTCCAGCACTGGGACTGAGGAGAGCTGGCTCCTGCAGGATCTCAGACTTAGCACTGTTTGATTCCAACTTTGTGCTTCTTCCAGTAACACGAGAACCCGAGGTCAGACTACTTGAATCCCCCTCCCACCACTGGCCCCTTTCTCCACCCTTCAGAAGGGGTACTGGGAAGGAAAAGTTTGAAACTCTGCCTTCTGCCTGCTTTGTGCAGAGTCCCCGGATGAAGGCACTGCCGCGGACCAGGAGTCAGAGGACGACCTCAGCGCCTCACGCACATCGCTGGAGCGCCAAGCCCCGCACCGCGGCAACACCATGGTGCACGTATGTTGGCACCGCAACACCAGCGTCTCCATGGTGGACTTCAGCATTGCCGTGGAGGTACCGCAGGGCGCGGGGAGGGCAGGAGGGACACGGCTCGGCCCCCACCGTGTGCTTGCCCAAAAGGTTCCCTCTTCCCTGGACTCCAGGGAGCCTGTTCATCAGTGTCTATTGACAGCCCCACTGGGGTAGGCTGGACCCAGTGAACAAAGACCCAGTCCCCTTCCGACATGATGTGGTTAGCCATTCAAGGTGGGGCTGAGTGGATGCTGTCCTCCTCTGTTAAGTGCAGAAAACGTCACTTGGTTTTCATTCTTTCCCAGCCCAATTACAGAGTCAATGCCAATTCATGGCGTTGCTTGTGTCAAGAGTAAACTGTGCTTCATCAGGTGCTCAGTGCTGATTTTTGGAAAGTGACTCTGGGTGGACTCAAACTTCCAACCTTTTGGTTAATGGACCCATTTGCACCACCCAAGGATTCCCTGCTGCCTTTAAGAGTAATCATTTTCTTTTTTCTCTGGGATAGCTCCATCCTTTTGTTTCCTCACATACAGTTAGCTCTTAGGGCAGAGACTCTTCATACGTTTTGCAGTGTGTCCACATCCCAAGAGGTTTAGACACACTCCCCCACACCCACTGCTGTCGGATGGATTCCAACTCATAGCAGCCCTACAGGACAGAGTGGAACTGCCTGCTCCATAGGGTTTCCAAGGCTGTCATCCTCACAGGAGCGGACTGCCACATCATTTCCCACAGAGTGGCTAGAGGGTTCCAATTGCCAGCCTTTCAGTTACCATCTGAGTGCTTCAACCCCTGTGCCACCAGGACTCCTAAGAGGCTCGTACAACACACCCCAAACACAAGGTAGATGGGCAGCTTTAGGGCCGCAGTTTGTTCATCTTGGAGCAGCACCACTATAATCCAGTTCACATGTCCTTAGGCCCACAAGTGAGCTAAGGCAGCAGTAAAGAGTCTGAGAGAAGGCAAGCCATGCCAGCTGAGGGTCCCATGGTAGCTGTAGTTCATGGAAGAACCAGAGAACATGGCAACGCTGGACATGGGTCTCTCCTTGGTAGGCTCTGGGAGTTACCGTGGAAGCTGGTTTGGGGAAGTGGACTTGCCTGGTTGTGAGTAGGATGTCCTTCTGGCCCTCTCCCAAATCCCATTCTTTCATCATTCTCTAATCCAGTGCCATAATCCCTTTTCAGAAAATTTCAAGCCCAGCAAGCTCTAAAACTGGAAACTTTTCTTCATAAACCGTGGGGCAGCAGAACCTGACCCAGAGTCAACATGAGGCTACTGTTGTCCTCATCATGTTTTGTGTAAATATTCATGTTTCAGTACAAAACTATTAGTGTGTTTCACTGTGGGTCAATCCCCCAGACCCCACTACTTGGGGATGTTACATAATTAAAAGCAACTGATGTCAGGTCAGCTCTGACTCATGGTGCCCCATGTGTATTAGAGTAGACCTGTCCTCCACAGGGTTTTCAGTGGCTGGTATTTTGGAAGTAGATTACCAGGCTTTGCTTCTGAGATGCCTCTGTGCTCAGTTAATAGCTGAGTACATTAACTGTTTGCACCATCCAAGAAATAAATCCATTATATAATAAACCCACTGCTATCAAATTGATTCCAACTCACAGTGACTCCTACTGGTTTTCCAGGGCTGTAATCTTTACAGAAGTAGATTGCCTCATCGTCCTCCCATGGAGCAGCTGGTGGGTTTGAACCACTGACTTTGTGGTTAGCAGCCAAATGCCACCAGAGCTCCTTTTACATAATCAGCGTACTGTATTTCCTTTCTAAGACCCAAACAGTTCTGAATTCCTAAACATGTCTGCCCCCAAAAAATGTCATTCAAGAGACTGTGGGCCAAGAACAGCAGTTTGTTTGCTTTTTAAACCAACAGTATTGGAATTGTGTTTCACTGCTGTTCATAAGGTTTTCAGTGGCCAATTCTTTCAGAAGTGGATGGCACCATCCTTCTTCCCAATCTGTGTTAGTCTGGAAGTTTTGCTGAAACCTGTTCACTATGGGTAACCCTGCTAATATTTGAAATACTGGTGGCATAGCCTCCAGCCTCACAGCAACACACAAGCCACCACAGTAGAAGTCGTCAAAGATTTCATTTTACTTGGATCCACAATCAACACTCATGGAAGCAGCAGTCAAGAAATCAGATGTTGTATTTTACTGGGCAAATCTCTTGCAAACATACCTGTTTAAAGTTTTGAAGAACAAAGATGTCACTTTGAAGACTAAGGTGCACCTAACCCAAGCCTGGTGTCTCCAGTCACTTCATGTGCATGTGAAAGCTAGATTGAATAGACTGAAGAAGAAGAGTTGATGCCTTTGAATTGTGTTGGCAAAGCAAGACTGGGCAATCTACTTCCATAAAGATTTGCTACCTCAGAAACCTAGTGGGGGCCGCTATGAGTTGGAATCAACTTGATGGCAGTGGGTTCGGTTTTCTTTTCTTTTTCTTTTTTTTTTTTTTTGGCCAGAAGAACGAACAGATCTGTTCTGGATGAAGTGCAACCAGAATGTTCCTTAGAAGCGAGAATGGCCAGACTTCGTATCGCATACTTTGATCAGGCTGTCAGAAGGGACCTTTCCCTGGAGAAGGATATCAAGCTTGGTAAAGTGAAGGGTCAGGGAAAAACGGGAAGACCCTCAATGAGATGGATTGATACAGAGGCTACAACAAGGCAAAAGCCAGTGAGGCTGAGAGAGAGAGAGAGAGAGAGAAAGAGAGAGAGATTATCTCAAGGAAATGGCTTATGTGGTTACAGAGCCTGGCAAGTCCCAAGTTCATAGGTCAAGCTGCAGGCTTCTCCTGACTCTTGTAGCTGCAGGGGCTGACAAACCCAAGATCGGCAGACAGTATAGCAGGCTGCTGACTCACAGCTGCAAAGGCAACAATCCACTTACTACACTTATCGGCACTACACTTATTGGCAAGCAATAAGGCAGACTGCTGGTTCAAGTTCAAGAACTGGAGGTCAGATGATGATGAGCCAGGTGCAGGATGCACACTGCAGAAAAGGAGAACTTTGCCAGACCATCCAGAGCAAGCCACACCATCAAGAAAACTCCCTTTCAACTGATTGGCTGCTCATTGCAGATTTCATCATGGAAGTAATTACATCATATCAGATCTCATCATGAAGAACAGCTATGTCATAATTGCCAAACCACTGAGGACCATGGCCTAGCCAAGTTGACACATACCTTAACCATCACACCTCCTGACAGACTGTCTGCAGTACTGTTTCTACTTCACACTTCACTGGTCCACTTGCAAAATTTGCCTGCCAAAGATTTCTTCCAAGGGACATGGATTACCACAGTGGGAAAGGGGAGTGTATGGAGGTTGAGGGGAAGAACCAGGGACTATCTCATGGGGGAAAAAAAAATGTAATCAAGCCGAGTTGAATAATCTCATACAGTGACCCCAGTGGAGGTAGACCACTGTTAAACATCATCTTTTTCCTCACTGTATATTTACTTTTGCAATATGTAAGTTATGATTGTCAAGACAGGAGAATTTTGGTAGGCTTGAAGCCTTTATTTAATCCCTGGAGGCACTTAGACCATTCAAATGTACAGCAAACACCTATGTCAAAGTCTTGGGTGGCCCAGAGACACCTCAAGTCCAGCTCTCTTGGGGTAGCACAGTTACAGCATGCTAGCCTCCAGGAGCAGATGAATTTACAGAGAAGGGTCAGCCAAATCCAGCCTAGTACCTGGACTTTTATGCCTGAGAACTAAGAATGGCTTTTACATCTTTAAATGGTTACTACACTTATGACAAAGAGATACAATACTGGTTTTTTTTTTTTTTTTTTGCAAATAACATGCCTATTTTACTTCTCTAGTGCTGCTGTAACAGTAGATGGCTTTAACCAACAGAAATTTATTCTCTTAAGTTTAGGAAGCTAGAAGTCCAAATTTTCTAGGGAAAGACTAGGCTAGAAGTCAAGTTCAGCATACCAGCTCTAGAGGCTGGATAGAGGCCCCTCAACCTGGGTTTCACCTCTGCCTCCCAGGCCCACTGGAGCAAGCTGGAGGCCATCTTCTGACTCACACAGCTGCAGGGGGTGATGAACTCAAGATTGGCAGGCAATATAGCAGGCTGTTTGCTGCTAAGACTGACAAATCCAAGATGGCAGGTAAATTGGCAGATTGTTGACTAACAGGCTGTGCAGACAACAGTCCCAAGATCAGCAGGCAACACAGCAGGCTACTGGTTCAAGTTGAGGAACTGGAGATGATGATGAGCCATATATACTAGAATCAGGCCATACCCCAAAGGCAACTCCCCTTCAACTAATTAACTGCTTACAGCAGATTCTACCATGGAAGTGACTATACCATATCCAATCACTTCATGGGGAATAACTTCATACACCTGCCAAGCCACTCAAAGTCATGGTCAAGCCAAGTTGACACACAACCTTATCTACCACGGTGCCCATGTAAATAGCATGTGGAAATGATACAATTAAAAAGTCCTGGCACAGCATGTGTGTTATCTGCATAAAAATACAGTAAATATGCCCATTTGAGCTTCACCTGGTAGCTTACCTTTCAGAAATGGCTGAACGAGCCATCACCTTGTTTGGCTGTGGACAGGCCTTGTCACTGTCCTCATAGCTGATAAGACTGAGAGACTTTGGAAGATCAGTGAGGACTTACATTCTCTCTGCTCTTGGCGTCCCTTCTCGGCTGCCTGTGAATTCACAAGTGGCCTGCACCAGGAGCTATGGAGTTAAACAGGGACATCCCTGTGTTTGAGGAGGGCCTATCAAACCTGAAGAAGCCCTGGTGACATAGTGGCTAAACCATTTGGCTGTTAACCAAAGTGTCAGCAGTTTGAACCCACCAGCCACTCTGCGGGAGATAGATGAGGCAGTTCTACTCTGTCCTGTTGAGTCACTGTGAGGCTGAATCAACTTGATGGCAGTAGCTTTTGGTTCGTCAGACCTATTTTTACTACTTTATTATCTGTGTCCTGGGGAGAGGTCTCTTCTGTGCAGGACAAAGAAGTAAAGGGCATGAAATTATTCTGATGAAAGCCAGGCATGTGAGGGGCAGGCACTTGCTCCCAGCTCTGGGCAAGAGGGATGTGGGGTGGAGCAGCCTGAGCTAGATCCTGTCCCGGGCTCACTAGAGGGCAGTATAGAGCTGCACAGCTGGACTAGAAACACGCTGCTCACCGTTGTTGAAGAGTGACAAGAAGGATTAACCACGTCAGGCTCACGCAGTCCACCAAGGGAGTCTCCTGGCTCAAGGGTAACAGTGGACCCCATTCCTGCAATCACAGGAATCCTAGTCCTAGCACAACACCTGTGCCACAGAGTAAGTCACCACACCCCAGAAGCCCAACTGAACTGTGGAGTCAAAGTAGTCCTTCCCATGGGGTTTGGCTGCACCCCCACTTGTCATATTGTTTTGATGTGTGCCCCTGTCTGTGCTGCTTATGGAACTATTTGTATTTCAGAATCAGTTATCTGGGAACCTGCTGAGGAAATTTAAAAACAGCAACGGGTGGCAGAAGCTGTGGGTAGTGTTCACTAACTTCTGCCTCTTCTTCTACAAATCACACCAGGTGAGTGGCTCACACAGGGCATGTGGCCCTGGGATCTGCACTTGGGCTGGGGATGCTAAGTGGAGTACATCTGCCTGAGACCCGACAGGTGTGAGGTTGGGGAAAGCCTTGGGGACTCACAGCCCCCTCCCTGCTCACAGGGGAAGAGTCCTCCGCTGGAAGGGTGGGGACCTTTGCCAAGGCCTCTCATCCCACTGCAGCCACCAGCCCTGGAGCCGGTGCTGCTAAGCCACCCAGGCAGGCGTGCACAGGGCTGGCGAAGCACCTGCCACAGGCCTGCTGGGCAAGGCCACGGCTACCAGAGACCCACAGCTCCCCAAGTGTGAAGGCTGATACGGTCCTTCTACTGAAGGACCACTTCAGCTTTGAAAGGTGCCTCACCTACTGACTAGACAAGGAAGATACATGGCTCACTTAGTTGATGGCTCATATCCTGGCCAGGACTCACTGTGGACCACAGTGACTCAGCAGAGACCACATTCCAAGCCAGGAGCCTAGGGGCATAGCAGCCTTTGCTCCCCAAGCTGCTGCTGCACAAGAGGCAGGCAGCCAGCTTGAGTGCCACCTTCTGTTCACCCCTCTAGGACAATCATCCCCTTGCCAGCCTGCCTCTGCTAGGATATTCACTCACCATTCCTTCCGAATCCGAGAACATCCACAAAGACTACGTGTTCAAGCTGCATTTCAAGTCCCATGTGTACTACTTCAGGGCTGAAAGTGAATACACATTTGAAAGGTAGGTGTTCCCCCTGTTCCCTTCTCCTATGCACAGGGCACCTGAACAAAGGACCCTTCTCTGCTCACTCACAGGATTCCTCCAAAGCGACCAAGTGCATAGGCTTTCCCAACAGGGGCTACTTACTTGGCCCATGGGCTGGGGCAGATAAGCTCAGCTGAAAGGAGGCTCTACTACTGTGCTAAGCCCTGCAGTTGCAAACAGTGGAACCAGAGTACACGTGCAGTTCTCATTTTCCTCAGCAGCAACTAGCTGGGTACCACCACACACACGTAGCTTTCCAGTCCATGACTTTTGTGTTTCATATTGTTGAGTGCCAATGAACTGATTTCAACTCATAGTGATCCCACGTGACAGTAAAACTACCCAACAGGATTTTCTGCAATCTTTACAGGAGCCAATCACCAGGTCTTTCTCCCACAGAGCTGATGATGGGTTCAAACTGCCACTTTTCAGTTACATCACAGAGCAAAGTTTCAGTATGTGTGTGTGTTTAATGGAGCAGAAGACAGCATGCTGGCCTTTACTAGTCTGCCTTTACCAACCTTGGCATAAGGATTGTACTTGCAAGAACAAAACAAAAACCTTAGATTTTTTAGTCTAGTTTCTGCAGTAATAATAATCCTTACTGGACTATGACCAAAAGGTTGAGTTTCAGGTCAAAGGACCACACACACAGGGATAATAGTCTTCGCTTAAACCAAGAAATAAAAGCAAAACAAAAAGATTTAGGCTGTCGGTTTAACAACTGGCTTGAGACTGTTCCAGCAGACAAGGCCCTTTTCAAAGCTGAAGTGGCCCTTCAGATACTCTGGGTATTACATCCCACAGCAGGTTACAAGAGCAGTTGTCACTGAACAACCACCACCCTGGAGGGATCCTCAGGGCTGCCAATCAGATGGGATATTAGTTACCAGTCACATGACCCACCCATACCATGCCCCCATTTAGAGAGAAATCTCTCTCCTGGCCACATTATTTGATTGAACTCCAAAGGTTTTTTAATTACACCAGTTATAACCTCTGCATGACCCTAGTGAAATTAATATTATGGAAGAGGACAGTGTCCCCAGGGTTTAAAACTCTCACCCATGACATCCAAAAAGAACAGTTCCTAAGCAAGCTACACTGCTTGAAAAATGAGCCCAGATGATAGTAATTCTCAAATTTGATACTGGGCTGAAAAACTTTACATGAGCCTGAACTTGAGAGCTTGACTTATCCAAGTCAGCATTTTGTTATTCTTTTAAGGATTATTTAGCCCTGGAGTGGCAAGAGCCTATGACAGACCAGTAATTAGGATTTCTAAATACAAGCCTTCCTCTTCTGCCACAATAAAAGCTCCCTGAAGGCAGGAAGCTTGGTCTATCCCAAAGTTTCTCAACCTCAGCTCTATTGATATTTGGAGCTAGTTAATTCTTTGTTGAGGGAGGATTTCCTGTGCTTTGTAGGATGTTTGGTAGCATTCCAGGCCACTACTCATTAAATGCCTATAGCCCACTACCCCCCAACCCAGGGTGACAACAAAAAATGCCTCTAGACGATGGCAAATGCCCTGGAAGGGAAAATTGCCCTTGATTGTTAGGTGCTGTCACGTTGGTTCCAATTCATACCAACCCTATGTAATACGTTGCCTGATTTTTTTTTTTGAAAAAAAAAAGTGAAAGTTTACATAGTAAATTCATTTTCCATATAGCAGTTCATACATTTTGTTTCAGGACATTGACTATAGTTCCCCACCATATTAACAGCTCTCTTCCCACTTCCTCCCATAGTTAACCTCTTTCCTGTGTCCTTCCCTCCCATGCACTCCTGCCACCCCGTTCCCCCTTCCCCCCAGCTATCTCCCTGTACAAACACTGCCTTTCTGTTCTCCATGATCACTCCAAGGAGTGTATCCACCTGATGTAAGTGTTCACCCCATATGCCTGTATATTGTTTGGCTGGAAGCCACAAGAGTGAGTTCAGTTCCAGACCTGAAGAGTAGTAAGGGCCATAGTCTCAGGGGTCTCACACCAGGTTCTATCAAACCAAAACACCTGGTCATTTTTTTTTTTTTAATGATTCTTAGTTTTGTTACACATTGTTCTCCCAGTTTATCCAGGATCTCATACACCAATCCCACTCTGAGTGGTTGGCAGTGATAGCTGGGTACCATCTAGTTCTTCTGGTCTTATGATCAGATGAATAAGGCTGAGGTTCACATGGTCTACCAGTCCCTTGGACTAATTGTTTCCATTTGTCTTTGGTTTTTTTCATTCTTCTTTGCTCTGGGTGAGAGACCCATCTCCGCATCTAGATGGCTGCTTGCAAGCTTTTAAGACCCTAGTCATTACTCACCAAAGTAGGATGTAGAACAGTGTTTTGCTGTAGTATATATGTTAAGCCGATTGGGTTCGGTGTCTCCTTTGTCTGTTTTTTTTTTTTTTTTAATGCATTGTATTGAAATGTAATTTATGTACAGTGAAATACTTAAGTGACATGGGTCAATGCATTTTTTTTTTTTTTTTGCAGTGTCCTCTCCCCTCCCCTCCCACCCCTGACAACCAACAAAGAAAGTTTTCCTCCATATAGAAATCTTTTCTTGACCCTCCACAACAATGAACTAGTACTGTATTTGTCTTTCTCTGATTGACTTAGTCACTCAGCATAATGTCCTCCAAGTTCATTCTTATTATGTGATGTTTTGCAGACTCTACATTATTCTTTAGTGCTACATAGCATTCCATTATGTGTATGTACCATAGTTTGGTCATCTACTCTTTTGCTATAAATCTTACGAGATAAGTTACTTGCCAGATAAGTAATTATTGGCAAATATGAATTTGTTGCTTTTTGTTATGTGCTTTTTCGTGGTCAATTTCTTTGTCCCATATAATTTTCTATGCTGAGCTCATTTTGTTTGAATCATGTTATCACTTCCTTCATTGCTATTGTTTTAGTGTTTGCTGAATATTTATGCTGGTCCTCTTTTTGGATGTGAAGGTTTATTTATTTTTTTTTTTTGAGGTTTCCCTGTGATTTATACTTTTCTTCCCAAGTTTAGAACAGTCCGTTCTATCTTGTAGTTGACTGACTTCCCTACCGTCTAGAAGTTCTGTAATGACAGTTTTTTCCTCTTTATGGTTTGTAGTTGTTCTCATTTGTCAATTGATGTCTCTGGTTCTCTGTTTACAATCTTGTAGGCTTATTTACTTTAGATAATTCCATAGCTGGGTTAGTTTCTGGGTTACATCATCATGTGTATTGTCAATTGTTGTTGGCTGTTGTTGCTTCTCTGTCTAAAGGGCTCCCTTTAGCATTTCTTGTAAGGTTGGTCTGGTTTTAACAAATTCCCTTAATTTCTGCTTATCTGGAAATGTCCTATTTCACCATCATAATTTGAGGGACAATTTTGCTGGGTATATTTTTGCTTCCTGTCCCTGCTGCCCTATGCTCTGAGGGTCTGGAGGTCTTAGTCCCAAAGGGAGGAACGCTCCCACCTGCAGACACAATAGTAATTGCATTGAACTGGAAATTAAGAATGCCACCTGGCCATTTTGTCTTCTTCATGCCTCTGGATCAACGGACGAAGTGCATTACTGTACTATCTGGTGTGATAGATCCTGATTACCAGGAGGAAATTGGATTGACATTACATAATGGAAGTAAAGAAGAATATGTCTGGAATATAGGAGATTCTTTAGGATGTCTCTTAGTACTACCATGCCCTGTGATTGAAGTCAGTGGAAAATTACAGCAACCTAATTCTGATATGGGAGCTCTGATAGCA